CGAAAACGGAGTTTTTTCACACGAAAACTGATCTTTTTTAAAACTCCGGCCAAAGTGAAGATCTGCGTTCTCTCCGTTTTGGGTGTCTGCGTGTGGACAGACAAAACCGGAGTTTTAAGGTCCGCAACGTCACTTTCCGCGACAAAAAAATGCTGACATCACGTGTGCGACCTGTGTTTACACTAGCCGACAGCATGGATGCCCTCAGAGCTGCGCTCGCTTTATCAATTGTCCAAGCGCTTTTTGCTTGTTTGTTTTTGCAAGCGGAATTACTGCTCCTTGCGGAAGACCACAGACGAAGGACGAGGTTAAGAACGGGGGAAGTACTGCCGCCTACAGGTCTGGCATGTCCTTAACAACGTATTTATCCAGGTACGTGTGGACAGAGTTTTTTTTTTAAAGGAGGTGGTGTGGATGCGTTTTTGGAGGGGCGGATATTTGTTTTTAAAAAAACCCGGCTACGTGTGGACTAGGCCTCAAAGCAACATAATCAGCACAGATCCTCTGTCCAGTTTGGGTCAACAGTGTCTAATTATTATCTCGATAAGGTTCAGCTGCCAATCATGACATCATGTGAAAGGCATCCCAGCTGGAGAGCAGGAACATACAGGCACAAACCTAAATATATTTGTGTAATCACAAAATTCAATTCAATTCAATTCATATAGCGCCAAATCACGACAAGACTCATCTCAAGGCACTTCACATAATAAACATTCCAATCCAGGTCAGTTCAAAAATGTTTCCTATATACAAAACAAAAACTTTAATAAGAAAATTATTGTTTTACTTATATTAAAGCCTATTTTACTCCAAATTTGTACAATTGTAACTTTTCAAAGTCTTTTTTTTCATGTTGTGGACATCAAAGGTCTCGAGGCTTTTTTTCCCTTAAAGGCTCAAGAATACAGTTAAATCTACCAGCAGACACATCAACGTGTCAATATTTAGTTGTTGTTCTTTTATTCCTGAAGTGGAGGTAAGTGTCATGTTGGGTAAACAGTGCCATATTCTCTCATTTTTTGATTAATGTGGCATGGGTGGGCATGTTCGAGAGCCAGCTGGAGACAGTTAGGGGAGTGGATTTCCTCTTGCCACGCCAGCTGGTGCACCTGCTCATAGTCCAGTTGAAAAGGTTTAAAACATCGCAATGGATCACAGGATGAATGCAAACAGCTTTCAGATCTTGTAGAATACATTTAGATTTTTGCAACATGTGATGCATCACAACACTACTGCACCCCATGCACTAAATAACCTAGTGGTCCGTTGCTACAGGACATAAGTACTATTATTGGTCAAATCTGAGCCAAACTTGATGCATCCAGCTGGAATTAAACTAATGGAGAAGAGGAAATGCTCTAACCTTGAGATGTGCAACAGATAGAGAAGAGAGGAAATAAAACAGGCTAAATGTGTTTGAATGTGAATTTATGACAAAGAAGCATTTATTCAGGTGTATTCTAAACAAACACGTTGTGAAAAATATCTGTTTTCATTTCCTGACCTTCAGCATTTTCCATCCTTCTGCACCTTTGTGAAAACTCCTGACCAAGAAAAACTCTTTCATCTCTGAACCCACCTCCTCCTCTGCAACATGTCATCCTTTATTCCACTTGTCTAATTTTATCTATCCAAAGGCCTAAACACCTCATTCTGTAGCCATCTCTGACTCTTTGTAGGAAATGCCTGTAAATATTCTGATGTCCAACACTCCGGAGACAGTAGGAGTCCAAAGATATCTGCAGCTGGGAGACATTTCCATGTAAAACACACATGCGTGTAAACTGCCTGTAAGTAGCAACGGCATCAAACGGGGAGATTACCGGGGGAGTTGTGTCAATGTGTCAGTGTGTAAGTGTTTCCTCTGTCTCTTTTCATCCATCTCTCTTGCTTTACCCCCCCCCCCCCCCCCCCCATCTGAGACAAAATGGCCAGATGGCTTCCAATCCTACATGCTAATCCACACTCAGACCAGAGCTTTGAAGCATCTACCGCAAGACTGGCGTGACCTTAAGCACACGAGCATGCCACATATGGGGGGCCACTGTGCATAAACTGTCAATAAAAGAGTCCAAAGCAACCTAACTCCACCCAACCACAGCAGCAGAGCTCACGCGGACCGAGTCCTGAACAGATGGGAGGTTTCCTTGGAAGTGTTTTGTGTGTCCAACGATCAGGTTTCAGACAGGCCGGTTAGCAGGCTACGGGCCAGGATCAGGCTCTGTGTCTACTGCTTTTGTTAGCTGAGGTGAGGTAAGAGAAGCTGCATGTCTTGGGTTTCACCAACTGGTGGAAAACATAGGAAGGCCCAGAACAGAACACACTAATACTCGAGGTGACGGGCAGACTGGCTCTTAAAAAGAAAGATTTTACGGCGTCATGGTGTAAAAAGCATCCTACTAGATATTAAAGTTTAGATAAGAACATCAAACTAGTCTTAGCCCTCTGAACAGCCCAAGTTTGGATTACTTCTGATCTGATTGATGAGCTAAAGGTTAGTCATAGTAAGTCCAAAACCAAGGCGAAAATACCTCTAAACTAAAATGTAACAGTTCAAAAGAAAGCTAGCTTACAGATACATATGGTTGCAGCTGAGTTCTGTGGCCTTTTGCAGCAAAAGCTTAGCTAGCTATGTTTAGCACCTCTGGAAATACTTTTATAACATTTCTACCAGAATAATCAGGTAATCCAAAACAGATAGCAATGTAAAGACTTACACAGTGAGAGCATTAAATGGATACTAGGCAACTTCTTTGTATTTTTAAACCATTTTCTTGAGCCAGTATGTGCTAAAATGATCTTTTACAGGGTAGATGAAAGTCACTCAGACCCCCACCACCCCCGTAAACAGAATACCGCACTTGCAACTTCAGTGTGGCGGGCCGGCCACTGTTAGACTTTTAGCTGACATACCTGGCGCTGCAATCTGCTTCCAGCACATTTCCTGCATATTTTAAATCCTGAACACAGCTGATTTGTTAAATTTAGTGATGAATCATTCCTGTAGATGCTAATGGAGGCTGAGGAGACATTTCAGCTGTTAGATTAAGGTGTATAAAAAAAAACTCACAGCAAAGAGATAAGTTTCATTTTCCGTTTAACCACAGATAATTAATAACGGACACTAGGTGGTGCTAAAAGCAAGCAAAACTGCTACATGTGCCTTTAAACACTGGAAAATGTTCCATTTTTATTATTTCAAAGTTGCAGGAATGAATTGTGTAACTGGTTTACTCCCAAATATTAATGCACATACTAGGAATATTTGGAGTCATTTTTCTGTAATTTACTCATTTATTTTCTCTTCATGAAACTGTTTGGTTCCAACCCCATTACACATTATTTGATGACATCATATGACTTTGTAACAGAATTTGCATGAGAAGCCATGCCCCAATGAGCTGCCTGCACACTGCTTGTTTACACAACATGCACTATGCTGGCTATTGCCTATTTACATGACATGGGTTTACATTTTGACCTAAAACACCAGTGCTCTGTGCTCCTTCGGTGCATCTATGAGAAGTGTGTTTAGTCCACACAATAAGGTAAACAATATTATTCAGGGATGCTAGGTGAATTCTGTGGGTAAAAGTGTGATGAATACATGATGCAAGTGGCATATGGAGTAAGCATGAAGCTAATCAGGAGGAGAGGCTGATTATCCAGCCTCAGTTTCACAGATCCACGGAGCAGCAGGAAGCTTAAACTCATCGGTTCTCGTGATGTATCACAACTTCTCAGACCAATTGTCTATTAGCCATCTGATTGTGACACTGCATTAAATTATCCTGGTAGCCATGGATTACTTCCTGTTGAACTTGCTGCACTAAAACAAAATGTTGAATGCACTGACTAAATGTTAATGTTAAAAAAGGATGTTGGATTGAAGGGATTAAACACACTGGCTTCCATCTACATCAGAGGGAGTAGCACCTTCAGGAACCCATCCCCCAATTCCTCTTCAACATCATCTCACCCGCCCTCAATCACTGACATGACTCCCTAGCATCTCTTCTTCACGGCAGACAACAGGTCTCCCATCAGGCCCTGCTTCTCCCAGGATTCATCCAGAATGACTACGCTTCCCAGGGGAGAATTCTCCCACTCCCTCCCCAATATGCTGAGCCTTGATTTTCAGCCTGCGCCGCAGTCACATCCTCCATCCTCTACTGATGACGGCTGTGGAAGAATTCGAGACACAGATCGGCTTGGCTTTCACTGAAGCGGCCCCCGCCCCCACTCTGATCCCCAATGAAGTCAGGTGACCAGATGTTGTATATCTCCCCATCATTCCAGCCGCCATGGAGCTGCTACTCTCTGCTGTGTTGAAGCCACAGTCATTTCTAACCCCAAACCCCATTTTGGAGAGTCCATATGTGAGGCAGTGCAGAGGCAACAAAAGAACATCCATCAGCATACTAAACATCCATCACCCACCCACCTACCCTCCCACCACCACAACCACCTCCAGCCACCCTCCCACCTCTCATCCACAGCATATGATCCACCCAGCAGCTCGACAGCCCCAAAATAGGATTGCCTCGTTTTCTGTTGCAGTTTTACCTCTGCAGCTGCTGCATTTCTCCACAACACACACACACACACACACACACACACACACACACACACACACACACACACACACACACACACACACATTCAAAGCATACAAATGCCACCATTGATCCAAACAGCTACCCATCAATAAGGATGCTATTTGTGAGGCACAAGGGAGTGTATACAGAGATGATGTGATGCAGAGGAGGGTAATGGTGATGAAGAACACGTCCAGCACATCTGGTGCAGGCATCCATTCCCATCTCAGCCTGAGAGGTGAGAAAGCCTGCTGATGGAGGAGCGGCCTCGGAGTGCAGGAGGAGAGAGCCGGCTACAAAGCACCCCTACATACACAGGCTCTCCCCTCCTCCTCTCCTCTTCTCTGCCTCCCCCTTATTTACCCCATCCCTTATTGCCTTACACAGAGAGGGATTTACCTGAAATATGTCTTCACATTCTCCTGCTCGGTGCTTCGCCTTTGGGCCCGGAGTCCCGACAGATTCATCGTCAGCCGAACGAGTCCTAGTGACGGTTTAAAGGCAGGACTGCCATTCTCTCGTCAGACCAGTTCCTGACCCTAAAAACAAGCTCGTTCGGCAGGCTGGATGCTTCACTGGCTGCTCACTGTTCCCTAGCCCATGATGTCATCCGCCCTGCTCCGCTGATTGGCTGAGAGGATGAATATTAATTCAGACAGCAGGTCTGGGGGCGGAGCCAGCCAACGGGCAGTGGTGGTTGGTTTTGTGTTTCACAGACCAAACCAACAGAGTGGAATAACAGGGAGAGGCTTTAGAAAAGCTAAAATCTGAATAATTTAACAAGAAGAGTTTTTGTAAAATTGCTAAAATCAACAGGAATGTTTATATTAATAAATTGTTCAAATATATCCACTTTAAACAAATATGAGCTTTATTGGACATGGGGGTTTATTTATTTACCTTTACAATGAAAACAAATGCTTATTCGTATGTGATAGTGATTTTAATGGGGACATAGAGTGATTTTTTTCTTTTGCTTTTAATCTGTGTGAAGCACTTTGTGATTCTCTATGAGCGCTATATAAATAAAATTTACTTACTTACTTACTTTTTCCTCAGGTTATAATAGTTTTATAATCTATACAACATTCGTTGCATAAAATCCCTCTCATATAAAGCTCTTTCAGCAGTTTAGTTCTTGACAGTTTCAGTACCTTTCAGAATGAGCCATGTCAGGGCTCTGTCACTTTAAGAGAACAAGCTGTTGCTAGACACATCACCACTCCCACCCCTGTTTTTATGCTGCTTTATACTGAGAAGCTCCAGTCTCCAGGAGGGGCTCGGAGTAGAGCAACTGCTCTTCCAGCAGTAGCTCTCTCCATTATGTGAGAGGTGGTTCTAATCTAATTTCCCATATTGTGACATCACAAACAAGGACTTATTGTAATGGCTTGTTTTAAGGCATATAATTGCTAAAACCAAACACTGACAGAAACCTGATGTTTTTCGGATTTTGGAGTGTTCATAGACGAATTAAAGACCCACGTGGTTGCATACAATTGTGCAAAAGGTTTTACATAACATGTCTCCTTTAATATTTTCCCATAACCTGGGGTTTGATAAGCTAGTCATCAGTAAAGATCAAATACAACGTTTTGGAGAAACCGCAAACAAAGTATCAAAGCTCTAATGTTCATTGAGGAAATGCATATCACCACTCCTCCCACCAGAGTTTTAAACAAACTGCCTCCTTATGTAAAGTAAAATAAGTAATGTTTGCAAGATCTAGCACAAATGTTAGCTATTTGTTTTGAATGATGCTTTGCTTAAGATTTGAGCTAAAGTCAGCCAAGTTAGAGCCATTTTTGTGTTAGTTATGGATCAACAGAGGTGAATCAGACTGAATTTAAAATGAGATATTTTGCTTAAGAGACTGGCAAACAGACTAGGTCAAAAATATTATCACCCACCTTTCAGTAAAAAGCAATAAAACAAAAGGTAAAGTCTTCTATACGTAGAAAGCCTGCATACAAAATCAGCTAGTAATACAGTCACTCCAGGCTTAAAAGGGTAAAAGCGCACTTGCAAAATATCAAATTTCAAACGTTTTCCAGTTGCTTCACATGTGACAAAGAGTTTAAGCAGCAGGGAAACCTTGAATTTATTGTCCTTTCATTTAATTTTGCATTTATTTTAAAGCATTAATCGTGTCTGGATTCACAAGCAGGCGTAGACAACAAACAGAATCTTCTGTGCATTTGTCCTCATTTGCCTATGATGTCATCTTTTTCCTCTGCCTCACCTGTGATTGGCTGATGGTAGCAGCATCTGCTTGGTCTCATGGCTAAGGCATCTAGCCCAAGGTGGAGGCCTATCTGAGGCTCCCTGAATCATGGCTGGTTGCCCTGACAACCCCTGTAATGTCGATTCCTTGCTGGAGAGTAATATGGCTCTTCTGTGACACACAGGCTGCTGATTAAATAATTACAATAATCCTTGTTGCCCTGTTTTTATTTTTATACATTTTTATTCATAAAGGTGGCTGCTTTTATCAGATTTTCTTAGCATAAAACAATATTTTAGAAGGAAACTCTATACCAATTTGCTTTTAAAGGCCCTAAAACAAATGAACGGTCAAGAACATGCATTTTTTCTTCACAGTGTGTTTTATTCAGCTTTGCAGACAGGCAACATTAAAATAGAGCACATTTACAGAATTGCTGTAAACTCACCCAGAACCAGAAAGGCAGGGTGCATTTAAAACTCTAAAAGGTACTTAAAAAATATATAATATTTAGATACCATTGAATAGATTGAATGTTTTCATCATGAACATTTCTCTCCCATACTCTTCCTAAAAGCTTCAGCCAGTGTGCAATTTAATTTATTTGCCATGACTCTCTTTAGAGTCTGATGCTAAATAACATTTCTGAACCTGTTTGGCATGAATTGGAGTGGAAGTTTTTGTAGGACCTAAATGCAGCAAATCCAGCAGGCAGCCAGTTAAAACAGTTAAAAATCCTTTAAAGGAGAAGCAGGAGGACCACAAGGAGCACAGTGAAAACAAGGGATGGACAATATATCGGCATCAATGTTGGTATCGACCGATGTTAGTCACTTTTTAACATATCGGTATCGGCCCGATAAAAAAAAACGGGTCGATATTATCAACCGATATTTTTCCATCTCATCTCCATTTGTTTGCCTGCTTCAAAGGGTGAGAGGGGTGGTGTGTAATTGATTAGTCATGTGAACAGTGATTGATAAATGAGGCCCCAGACCGTTGTCAATTTTTTACTCTGTTATATTGCAGCCATTTGCTAAAATCAATTAAATTCATTTTTTACCTCATTAATGTACACACACCACCCCATATTGACAGAGAAACATAGAATTTTAGAAATTTCTGCAGATTTATTAAAAAAGAAAAACTGAAATATCACATGTTCCTATGTATTCAGACCCTTTGCTGTGACACTCATATATTTAACTCAGGTGCTTTCCATTTCTTCTGATCATCCTTGAGATGGTCCTACACCTTCACTGGAGTCCAGCTGTGTTTGATTGGACCTGATTAGGAAAGACACACACCTGTCTATATAAGACCTTACAGCTTACAATGCATGTCAGAACCAGGCGACTGTTGCGGCAGTAGCTTGGATACCTCTGTAGAAAGCCGGGCTTTAGGCTGTGCTGTTTGGCAGTGTTTGTGCGTGGTGAGTGCTGGTGTTAAGCTCGGTTTGGATTGGCCTGGAGGATTATTCGGGATATCGGCCGATGGCCTGTACGGGCCCAGTACGACGGTGTCATGGCTCTGGTCCAGGCCCTCCCTGTTCCAGGGTAGGTATGGGAAGGAAGGCTGTAGGGAGTACAGGTTTGGTGGCGTCTTCTCTAGTGGTGGAGGGTGGTGGAACATCTAAGAGGGATCGGCGAGATCGGAGCACCTCATCGCTGGAAGGTCTGGGAGTGAAAGGTGCGGTAAAGCAGAGGAGGTCGGATGGAACTGGTATGGTGGACCTGGCAGTCCGAATTTATGCTGTGTCAGGTGGGCGGCTTCTCGTTGCCTCGAGCCTGCTCAAAATGTCAAGGGAGCTGAATGAGAAGGTAGGCGAGGTGGTGGATGTGACTGTTCTGCCTGGGGTGGGGGGTGGGGGGTGGGGGGGGGCAGTGGTGTGCCATTCGAAAGCTCAGCTGACCAAAGCGCTGAAACTTAAACAGTTTCTGGGGGTTGAAGTTATGGTGACTGTACAGCTAGAAGTCTGCAGTAATGGGGGTTGTGTATAATGTCCCAAATAATGTGGCGGTGGAGGATTTGTTGCAGGATTTGAGAGGGGGCAAAGTGACGGCCTTTAACGAGTGAGGTTCGACCCCCTTGCTGTTGACGTTTGGAGAGGGTGAGTTGCCGGCTCGAGTTATGTTGGGATATGTGAGTTATCCAGTCAGGGCATTTGAGAGGGCTCCCCTATGATGCTTTCGTTGCCAGCGGTTTGGGCATGTGGCGAGGGCGTGTGTGGAGTGAGAGAAGTGTAAAAGATGCAGAGGAGGGCACGATGGTCGGGAGTGTGAGGAGGCTCTCAGTTGCCCTAATTGTGGGGGAGGACATCAGGCGACGTTCCATGGCTGTGTGTCGTATAGAGAGGCAGTGGCGGTGGAGGAGTTTCGGGTGGGGAAGTAAATGTCCTAAAGATACTAGTGAGAGGCCATGTTTGTATCCCTTCTGGCCGGCACTCGGCGCGCAGTAGATGTCACTAACGCGACCACCCTATTTTGCGGGGGGGCCTCCCACAGTCGCTCCAAAGGGATTAGCGGGGCTGACACGAGTTTAGCCGTCAGAGGCGAGGGGCTCATGCGGCAATATTATTACGAGGCTATGTTGCCTCTTTTTTACGGCTTTATTTTTTTATTTTTTTACATTGTCGCTACGTCTGTCATGTTTGCGGTGTTTTACCATAGTTTCTACATCCATCACGCCCCAGAGAAGGTTAAACCAATATCAAACCCAACGTTTGGAGCTTGTAAGCTCCACACACCTCTCGTGCAGCACCAGCTGTTTGATGCTGCAGCAGCGTCAATCGTCCCGGCTGGATGAGTGAATTTCTTCATCAGAGTCAATATTCTGCTTCATAATCAGAGTCAGTCATTACCAGACAAAGTAATCAGTCAGCAAAGACCAGACCTGCCAGCAATTATACGTTTTATATTCGCTCTCTTCATGCTGCCCGCATCTCCTCCTCTCCCCGACTGGGGTCCTCACGGCGGGACACATTTTTCAAACTCTAAAAACTCCCAAACTTTGCTCAGCCTGAAGGTTACACATCTCCACTATCTTCTGGTGTAAAGTAGTAACTTCATGAGGGATCATATTTGTAGATGAGACTTGTTAAAGTCAGCAATGAGGCTTTAGCACTTATAACAAGTAAGTCCCAACACTGACAACAATGCACTGAAACTATAACCAACATGCATAAACAAACAGATCGGTCCCGCCTACTTACACTGTTGGTCTTTTTTTAATACGCAGTAATCATTGTGTAACCGAGCCTTCCAGAAAGAGATGGGAGAAGATATAGGATTGTGGTTGCTCAAGAAAAGGTTGATAACCGTGAACTCTCAGGGTCGCTTTATTTTAAATAACACCATTAACAACTCCGCTCCAACTTCTCTTGTTTTTCTCTCTTTTCAAACATCACATCC